AACAACAACTATTATTATTATTATTATTATTATTATTATTATTATTATTATTATTATTATTTGAGGTTTTATGATAATTACTGCCCCGTCCTTTCTCCGTCAATAGAAATGCTGAAATTGAGAGGCCATCTGCTTTGCATGGAATGAAATTAAAAGGAAAAGGTATTTCCACTGTGATTTATATTCTGCGTCTGAAATCCGTTCAGAGATAGCGAAGAACCTGCTTATAATGTGGAGGTGCACCTCGACCTTGTCTTTTGATGCTTGAGAATTCATAAGGCTGAGACCCGGAGGGAGAATCAAGGGCACGTTTTCGTCTCAACATAGAAAATGCCGTTTGAAAGCTGCTCAGAACCAAGCTAGGCAAAACAGAGTCCCACGTTGTTGTTTTTTTCAAAGCGAGTAAATTACGTGCAGGGTTTAGATTGCAACAGAAAACTTAGAAGCGATGTTTCCAGAAAAAAATCTCTACCATGTCCTTTGACAGGGACCCACACTCCACGTATCTGATTCAATGGTGCTTATGTGCAGGACAAGTTTGCAAACTGATTTATTTTTAAAACATATTCTTAGCGTAGCACGGATAAGGTTCACCCTGAGGTGAGGAGGAAATGGGACGATTCTCTAGAACTGACCGCATTGCTTTGTGGACGAATCAATTTGTGTGTAAATCAATTTTATACATAAGGAATCTTGAACGAATTCAGAGCAAAAATAAAGTGATCTGCCTCGGGGAAGTGGTGGCTGATAGAGTCCAATATTACACGTATCAATCAGTCCAATATTTATCAATATGGGCAATCTCAGACAGTTGCTGGATGTTCCAGGGTTGCAGAGTGAAAGGAAGAGGTGGTGTGTATGTGTGCACCTCTACGCGGAATAGGCTTTGTAGGAAACGTGTCAGTTCTCCAAATATTAAAATGGGGTTGAAGGACCTCCAAGGGATTTGGGCAACTGGGAATTAGGAGAGGTTTAAATTTGTGATATACTGTAGATTATTTGCAAAAAAAAAAAAAGGCCAGGGAATTTACGATTCATAAGGACTAAAGAAACGGAGCGTGGCCGGGGGGAGGGGGGGGGAGAGAGAGAAGTGAGACAGACGGACAGGCCCGCACATTTTTGAAACTCGCAGCTCCTGGCGGACTGATGTGGGGGCTATGCCTGAGATCAAAACGCTGCTCCTGCATTTCCTTTAAGGCAAGAACGACTCGGGGGTGCCACTCTGTGGGTTAGGACACATTCCTCAAAATAATAGGCCGAGATAAGTGTGCGTGTCTGTGTGGGTATGTGTGTGTCTGCCTGCCCCCCCCCATCTATCTATTGATCGATCTTGCATTGAGACTAGTCAACGGTTTTAATAAAACCAAGTCACAACTCCCGTAGAACCAGTAACATCTTCAAGAACGGTTCCTTGAAGCATCGTGTGAACTTTGAATCCCCAGCTGAAACCTCTCCTGCCCCCGCCTTTCCCTGCACGCGGGTACAGATTATCAAGCGACTTTCGTTTCTTCTTTGACCATTGGGAGCACGTCCTTTTCCAGTAGCGGAGAGTTCCCTCTGCCTCACCCGCGCGGCTTCCTGATAGCTCTCTGAGCGGTGGCGCGTGTGGGCCTCGCGCGGAGGAAGGGCAGGGCAGGGCAGGGCAGGGCTGGGGGAGCCGCCCTGCTTCGCCCCCAGCGGCCAAGTC